TTAGTCGTCATAGGTGATTTTAATATACATGTAGATAACGTTAATGATAGATACGCGAAAGAGCTGAGCTCTGTGCTGGAAACCTTTGGTCTCACTCAGCATGTGAGTGGCCCCACCCATAGCAGAGGACACACTCTCGATCTGCTAATTACTAAAGGGGTTAATATCTCAAATGTAAATGTGGCCAATGTTGCTCTGTCAGATCATTTCTGTGTATTTTTTGATATGTGTCTCAATAGTAAAGCACGAGCTGAATCCTCAATTGTTAGAAGAAGAAGACACATAAACAAAAATACAGGTGAACTTTTCATGGGGATGATAAACTTTGATAACACGTTGTGTTCTACTGTGGATGAATTACTTAACTCTGTCACCTCTAGTGTTTTGGATGTTCTGGACACGATTGCTCCTGTAAAGGTCAAAATTGTTACAAATAAGCAAAAGGCGCCATGGACAAAAGCAGACTCTGTCAGGGCACAGAAGAGAGAGTGCCGGAGAGCCGAGCGGAAGTGGCGAAAGTCAAATCTCCAAGTTGACCATGAGATCTTCAAAGATGCATTGTGCAAGTTCAACAGTGTGCTACGTAGAACGAGGGAAACTTATTTTTCCGAAACAATCGAAGGTTGTAGTGGCAATCTACGCGTTCTGTTCTCAACGGTAAATAAATTGACAAATCCCCCTGTTAAGATGCCATCAGAGCTTACCTCCAAAACCAAATGTAATGAGTTTGCAGAGTTTTTTAATGACAAAGTCCAAGGCATCAAAAATGCCATCACCTCCACAGTAGAAATTACAATCCAACAGCCAGTGAAGCTTTTTGGGCTGACACACTTTACACCAGTACAAAATGAAACTGTCCAAATGATAATTACAAGTCTGAGTTCTTCTACATGTAGCCTGGATGTATTACCTCCTAGATTTCTTAAATCTGTTCTGAGCAGTCTTTTACCTTCACTCACGCATATAGTAAATATGTCTCTTGAATCTGGAACATTCCCAATGGCCCTGAAAACGGCAGTCATCAGACCCCTCCTAAAAAAGAAGAGTCTGGATGCCTTGGCACTTAAAAGTTATCGGCCCATTTCAAATCTGCCTTTCATGGGTAAAATTCTAGAAAAAGTTGTCTATCACCAACTTACAGAATTTTTAATAATCAATCACTCTTTTGATATGTTCCAGTCTGGTTTTAGACCCCACCACAGCACAGAGACCGCTCTAGTGAAGGTAACAAATGACATCAGACTTAACACTGACGCAGGAAAAGTCTCAGTTCTTATCCTGTTAGATTTGAGTGCTGCTTTCGACACTGTCGATCATGGTATCCTCATTCAGAGACTTGAGGACTGGGTTGGTGTTTCTGGAACAGCCCTAAGCTGGTTTATATCCTACCTACAGGACAGAAAGTATTTTGTGGAGATCGGAAACTGTGTCTCAGACCATCTGGCCCTGACCTGCGGAGTGCCACAGGGCTCAATCCTGGGGCCTCTCCTGTTTAATATTTACATGCTGCCTCTGGGTAGGTTAATACACAGTAATAACGTGTCCTATCACAATTACGCTGACGATACTCAGGTCTATGTGTCCCTGACAGCAGGAGAACATGGACCAGTGGACTCGCTCCTTCACTGTATCCAACAGATCAGTGATTGGATGCAAAATAACTTTCTCCAGCTAAACACAGAAAAAACTGAAATTATTGTTTTCGGACCTCAGAAACAAAGAGAGAGCGTTATCTGCCACCTCCAGTCTCTCTCCCTGAAACCCTCAACTCAGGTCAGAAATCTAGGAGTAATAATGGACTCAGACTTGAATTTCAATAGCCACATATCATCTGTGACATCATCAGCTTACTTCCACCTAAGAAACATTGCTAAAATTAAAAACATTGTGTCTAAAGCAGACTTGGAGATTCTTATCCACGCATTTGTCTCCAGTCGATTGGACTACTGCAATGGCTTGTTCACAGGTCTCTCTAAACAAGCGGTAAAACAGCTGCAGTACATCCAAAATGCTGCAGCTCGAGTCCTGACTAGAACCAGGAAGTACGACCACATTAGTCCGGTCCTCAGGTCTCTGCACTGGCTTCCTGTGGCTCAGAGAATAGATTTTAAAGTAGCTTTACTTGTGTACAAGTCTCTCCATGGCCTCGCACCAGGGTACATCCGCGACATGTTGGTGCCATATGAACCAACTCGGGCTCTGAGGAGCACAGGGACTGGACTTCTGTTAGTGCCAAGAGTCGGAACTAGACATGGGGAGGCTGCGTTTCAGATTCATGCAGCTAGAGTCTGGAACCGTCTTCCCGAGAGTGTGAGACAGGCGTCTACTCTAGCAGTTTTTAAAACTGAACTGAAAACAGTTCTTTTTAGCTGTGCATACAAGTGAATGATTTTACATTTGTTTTTATCTTTAATCTTTTTAATGCGCTATGATTATTTATGATTATTTATGATTGTAATCCCTTGTGTGATTTTAATTTTTTACGGTTTTTAACTACTTACTGTGATTTTATATATCTTGTGCTCTTAATCTGTCTTTTTATGTTTACTTAAATTCTAATGTTTGATGATTTATGCATGATGTTATATGGGTTGTGAGGCGCTTTGCGTTGCCTTGTGTAGGAAAGGCGCTCTATAAATAAACGTTGATTGATTGATTGATAGTAGGAGTAGTTGTAAGAGTAATAGTACCAATAGTAGTAGTACTAGTAGTTGTAGAAGTCACAGTACTAGTAGTCCCAGTAGCAGTAGCAGCACCGGTAGTAGCAATAGGCGTAGATGTTGTAGTAGTAGAAGTCCCAGTAGCTGTTGCAGCAGTATTTGTAGAAGTACCAGTAGTAGTTTGTGAGGAGGGAAGAGAAGAGGAGGTGGACAAAGTGCTGCTAAATGTCCTTTGTCTCGTTGTGTATCTGTCTTTGTTGTGTATCTGTCTTTGTTGTGCGCCCTCAGTCACAGCTCTTCTCTTCTGTCTGAACGTCGGACTGTGATGGAGGCTCCTGTATGGATTCGCTCTCAGGTATTTCTCTTTCCCCAAAATTGATCCTAAAATCATTCAGGATCATGCAGCAGCAGTTGTGCGGTTGGGAGGTCTCGCAGGCCTCCAGACTCACTCACTTTTTTTAGGCTGCGGCCCTTGTGGTCATCCTACGCTTTCCTAATTGAGAAATTAATGCAGAAAAATCAATGGGGCCTGAAGTTTTGTGTCCGCCGCTCTCCTGAAGGCTTCACGGAGCCGCGATCGATGTTTCCCACATGGGTGGCTCTCTCTCTCTCTCTCTCTCTCTCTGTTATCGCTGCAGGTTTTTCAATGGCTATGAAACTATTACAATTGCGCTTTTTTTGTCTTCGTCTCGCCGTCTTGTGTAATGTTTGAAGTCTTTGGTCGCCACTTTCGGTATCACTTAACACTGGGCTCTTAAAGCGTGGACACGGTGGACGGACACAGCCTTATTTACACTTCAAAATACACTTCTTTAACGTCCTGTGATCAGCCGCTTCGTCACACGGTCTGTCCAGGATTTAGGGACAAATCAGGTCAGATAGATAGATAGATACAGTAGATAGATAGATAGACAGATAGACAGATACAGATAGATAGACAGATAGATAGATAGACAGATACAGATAGATAGATAGATAGACAGACAGACAGACAGATATATACTTGATAGATAGATAGACAGATAGATAGATACTGTAGATAGATAGATAGATACTAGATAGATAGATAGATAGACAGATAGACAGATACAGATAGATAGACAGACAGACAGACAGACAAATAGATACTTGATAGACAGATAGACAGAGAGATAGATAGATTCTAAAATTTCTAATAATAAATTAATCCAATCAAGCATAAGTTTTCCCCATCTGAGGTGAGTATAAAGATCATGTTCTAAGGGCCACTCTGAACCATTCCCACTGATAATTAATGATGTTTAAAGGGGACGTATGTCATATTTTGAATGACATCTACACCTAATCTAATCCACTTCACACTGAACTCTGCCCGCTGTGCGACAAATGTCTTAATCTTAATCTATTTATGTGGCACATTTGAAAGTGCGGCACAGAGACAAAAGTAACACACACAAGATGTATGAAAGATAATCAATAAAAAGTCAAATACAAATGATATAAACAGAAATAACGGTAAAGATAAAATAATGAAATAATGAAAACGGCTACATTTCTGACCTTTTCTGACCAATGTTATTCTTAATTAAAATTGATTGATTAAAAACTGAGATTGCCTCAGTAATCAGTGCTTAGGACCTACATGTGTCGCAGGAAGAAGATTCTGGCAACAAACGTGAGATAGTAATGGCTTTATTAGAGCGTGTACTGTCCCTTTAAACACTTATCTGTAGAATACACATTTCCATCCATCCATTTTCTTCCGCTTCATCCGTTGCCGGGTCGCGGGGGGCATTTGAACACACATTGGATTGTAGGAATAGAAGAGATTAGAGTTAAGAAAGGAAACGGCATCATTACCAAATTAAAAGCTGGATTTTTCATATTTCAAAGTCCAGTCAAGAACTCTCGGTGGTCCGACCGGCAACAAACTAACTTTCCGTTACTAAATTTCAGCTCAGATTCTGCAACAACATTGTTCCTTTGTGCTCGCTAACCACCTCCCAAATTCATCAGAGGCCCCAGTATGGATCACAGTCATATTTGATCAATATTAATAAGGATAGACAAACTCCCCCAGTAATTACCACAGTCTCTGCGCTTTGATTTGGACCATTACTAACGCCTCTGCATCTTTAGATTAAAACAAGCGCACCCTTTTATATCATAACATTAAATCCTGACACGCGTCTTCTAAAAGCGCTAATAAGACAAAGATAAGATTTGCATCCCCATACAAGTGTCTTTTTCAATTGATTATGAAGCCGCCATTGATGTGGGAGGAATGGATGTTTTCCTCTGTTCTTAAGGGCAGCTAATAGACGGGGCGGGCGCCAGGAGGAGACTTTGGCACTTTGATCTTCAATCAGCAAAAACACACTTCTGCCGCGGACACTGCGTTTGGTGACGACGGAGGGATGAGGAGGAGAGGAGGAGGAGGAGAGAGAGAGAAGGAGGAGGAGATGAGAGTGAGGAGAGGATGAGGAGAGAGAGAGGGGAGGACGAGGAGAGAGAGAGAATGAGGAGGAGATGAGAGTGAGGAGAGGATGAGAGGAGGATGGGGAGAGAGAGAGAATGAGGAGGAGATGAGAGTGAGGAGAGGGTGAGGGGAGAGAGAGGGGAGGATGAGGAGAGAGTGAGGAGGAGGAGGAGATGAGAGTGAGGAGAGGATGAGGGGAGGACGAGGAGAGAGTGAGGAGAGGGTTTGGAGAGAGTGAGGGGAGGATGAGGAGAGAGAGAGAAGGAGGAGATGAGAGTGAGGAGAGGGTGAGGGGAGGATGGGGAGAGAGAGAGAATGAGGAGGAGATGAGAGTGAGGAGAGGATGAGTAGAGAGAGAGGGGAGGATGAGGAGAGAGAGAGAAGGAGGAGGAGATGAGAGTGAGGAGAGGATGAGGAGAGGATGAGGGGAGGACGCGGAGAGAGTGAGGAGAGGGTTTGGAGAGAGTGAGGGGAGGATGAGGAGAGGGGAAAAGATGAGTGAGGAGAGAGTGAGGAGAAAATGAGGAGAAGATAAGGAGTGAGAGAGAGGAGAGGATGTGGAGAGAGAGAGAATGAGGAGGAGATGAGAGTGAGGAGAGGATGAGGAGAGAGTGAGGAGAGAGGATGAGGAGGGAGTGAGGAAAGAGAGAAGATGAGGAGAGGATGAGGAGAGAGTGAGGAAAGAGAGAGAAGATGAGGAGAGAGAGAGAAGAAGATGAGGAGAGAGAGAGGAGTGATGTGAACTGGAGAAGGAGAAGAGGAGGAGAGAACTGGAGGAGGAGAAGGAGAGAGTGAGGAGACGATGAAGAGGAGGAGAAGGAGAGAGTGAGGAGACGATGAAGAGGAGAAGAAAGCTGAAGGAGGAGGAGAAGAAGATGAGGAGGATGAGGAGCCTCGTTGTACAGTCTGAGTCCTGGATCTATGGCCTGTCTACGGATCCTTCTTTCAATGTTGACCTTCTTTGTCAATGTTTCAGGACATTTGAAGATATTTAAAGACATTTATGGACATTTATGGACATTTAAAGACATTTAAAGACATTTATGGACATTGGTCATCCTTCTCCCTTTGGACCAATGGCTTCTATGTGGTTGTTATTGTTGAATTTGCAGTTATTTGAACCATGTTATTCTCTGATCTGTTGTTTAGAGATTTAGGGCAACACAAATCTACACATCTTGAATTGAATTCGGTTGCAGAGACAGTAAAGAGATCCATGCCATTCCCAAATCAGTCCGTAGCAGCCTCATGTAACCCCGGCCTAAAAACCGGCGCTGCCACTTTAAGACTCACCAGTTTACAGATAATAAAAACGGCCTAATTGTGTGTTATGTTCTAAACACGGAAAAACTCGCAAAATAAGCCTCCATAAATGACAGCACGTTGTAATTACACGTTTCACGAGAAGGACTGGTGTGAGGATGTAGTGTGGGGCTGTGGATACAAACGCATTAGTCCAATATGGCCGTCTTTTAAAGCCGGGGTACCTAACTTAAACATGTGTGTGCCGAAATGTAGAACCACTCCCCACAACAACACTGCATTCAGAAAACATGTACATATATCTGTGTACAATAAGACACAGGGCATACATACAGCAGCAGGCAGAAAAGTACAACTTAAAGGAGCAGTTTGTAAACATGTGGTCAAAAGTGGTACTGCAGCCTCTCCCACTCTCCCTGACTCAGGTTGCCAGATATGCAGACGAATCCAGCTGGGACCATAACAGCTGAATAGACAAGAGTTTTGTCAACAACAAATCTATAACCAACACCTTTTTCACAAAGATAGAAATCCTGGTTTTATTCCTTGTTTTGTCGTTAATGATTTGAGAATCATAACGAGACCTTTTTTAGTTCTGCGCCACATGGTACTTTACCAGTGAGATTAGCTCCACGCGGTGAGTTCTGGCGCCCGGATCACAGACTTTCTGATTGGTGAAACGGTGGAGGGCGGGACATAGAAATGAAAACAATAACAAGATTTAGGGGCTGGAAAAGTCATTTAGGAATCCAAATATCTCTGAACTACTGTTATCAGTTAAAGAAGTTTTCAAAAAGAGTATATTTTATTAATGCCTTTTGACAGATTAGGGCCCTTTAATGATGACTGCACATGAAAATCTTACATATTGCTACTTTAAAATGTACATACAAGAATTAGAAAAAAATAACGGAGGTTGAGGACCATATGGATGAACCATACTCCAATCAGATGGAGCCTTGTATGAATCTACATCTGACTTCTTCATGGATTCATGGAACAAAAACAGTGGCAGTCAGTGCTTCTAAGTGAATTGGGGACAAAAAAACGGTTCTAAATACTGGGACTTGGGATAATGTGAATTTTGGGACCATTTATGACATTTATTACAACCTGTGTGTTTTCTTTCCGCTCTGGACGATACTAAAAGGTAAAATCTTTGAAAACAGAACATGTAAACAGATTTGGGATAAGACAGAGTTTTTTGTGTTTTTTTTTTGTGGACAGGGGGAAGCTGCAGGCGGGAGCTCTCACCAGGGATAATTTAATGCATGCAAAGTCGGACTCAAACATGTTTAGCAGCTTTAAGGAACAAAACGATCACGCAATGGTTCAATAACAGACAACACGGTGAAGGGGGAGTCGGTCTGACACTGGGGGCAAAACCCGCAGACCATGGCTTTGGCTGTTTTTACAAAATGAGACAATGGAAAGACATGTTAATTATCATACAAACTGTTATATGAATGTATGCATAGATTTTGGGATGTGTTATCCTCAGGTCTTTTGATTATTTTATTTTTTGGAGCCGGTGGCATTGGAGGGAACAGGTGCACGAAATGATTTGGGTATTACTGAAGCTTCAATGTTTAGTACAGCAGCATTTAAAAACATTCTTGTCTTCAATGAATAAAATAAATGAGCTAATGATTATGAAAAGTAAAAACCGTAACTAAATTATCTGTTAAAGGTGATGGCTGTGACTTCAATTGTATTTAATTCGGAAAAAAATACATAATTTTTGCCCATATGACCCGATAGTATCATCCACATTAAGTATTTTTCATAATAAGTACTTATTAAACAGTCCCTTCCCTAACCCTAACCCAGGAATAAGCACCACCTGTGAGATTTACCGGAGGAGAATAGTCCGAAAAAGGGGAGTGGCCTCAGCTGTCTATCAAGGATTTTAATTCATTGAGTCCAATCAGGAAGCTGCGGGGGCGGGTCTATAACTGTTGCTTGCGTTCAAAAGATTTCAGCCATCTTCACAATTTGGAAAGCAACGGAATTTTTAACGCCTGAAAAATAAAATATATATTGGAATCTAAATTTAAAGTTAAATGAAATGTAGCGGGATACCTACTTTTTTTTGGTTTTATGAATAATAAATGCTGTTTGTCCCAAATACAAACGGAATTTGTAGTGTATAAATCAGACTAAATTATTAGTTGTATTTTTTTGCTGCTACTGGACACCTGAATTTCTCCTACGGGGATCAATAAATTATCTACCTATCTACTGTATCTACTGTATCTATCTATCAATCAATCTGTCTATCTACTGTATCTATCTATCTATCAATCTGTCTACAGTGCCTTGCGAAAGTATTCGACCCCCTTGAACCTTTCAATCCATAGGACAACAATCAGTCGTGCACTGCACAAATCTGGCCTTTATGGAAGAGTGGCCATTTCTCAAAGATATCCATAAAAAGTCTCTTAAAGTTTGCACAAGTCACCTGGGAGACACACCAAACATGTGGAAGAAGGTGCTCTGGGCAGATGAAACCTTTTTGGCCACAATGCAAAACGATGTGTTTGGCATAAAAGCAACACAGCTGATCACCCTGAACACACCATCCCCACCTCAGCTGTAGTTATCTGCAGTTCATCCAGAGTGATCATGGGCCTCTTGGCTGCATCTCTGATCAGTCTTCTCCTTGTTTGAGATGAAAGTTTGTAGGGACGGCCGGGTCTTGGTAGATTTGCAGTGGTCTGATACTCCTTCCATTTCAATATAATTGCTTGCACAGTGCTCCTTGAGATGTTTAAAGCTTGGGAAATCTTTTTGTATCCAAATCCGGCTTTAAACTTCTCCACAAAAGTATCTCGGACCTGCCTGGTGTGTTCCTTTGTCTTCATGGTTCTCTCTGCGCTTTAAACAGAACCCTGAGACTATCAAAGAGCAGGTGCATTTATACGGAGACTTGATTACACACAGGTGCATTCTATTTATCATCATCAGTCATTTAGGACAACATTGGATCATTCAAAGATCCTCACTGAACTTCTGGACTGAGTTTGCTGCACTGAAAGTAAAGGGGCCCAATAATATTGCACGCCCCACTTTTCAGTTTTTTATTTGTTAAAAAAGTTTAAATTATCCAACAAATTTCATTCCACTTCACGATATTTTATATCTTTATGTTTGAAGCCTGAAATATGGTGAAATGTTGAAAGGTTCAAGGGGGCCGAATACTTTCGCAAGGCACTGTATCTACTGTATCTATCTAAGTAATGTTTCACATTTCACAGACCAGAGTCACAAAGCGGTTTACAATTGTTATTTTATCTATCTTTCTATCTGTCTATCTACATGCTATCTTTATTAGAAAAAATCTGATAATTTGCAGATACTAGTAAGAAAGAGCCCTGTGAGTCACTATTTGACTCTTTTGGCTGCGAGCTGATTGGCTGAGAAAGGGTGGTCCTCTCTTTTCACATTTCTGTCTGAAAAAGCTGAAGTTAAAAAGTGACAGAGGCCAGAAATGACATGCGGCGAGCTGGCTGAGTAGATAGCACTCTCGCCTCTCAGCAAGAAGGTCCTGGGTTTGAATCCCGGTCGGAACAGGGCCTTTTTGAATAGAGTTTGCATGTTCTCCCCGTGTCTGCGTAGGTTTCCTCCGGTTTACCCTACCATGAATGTAACGTGTGAGTGAGTGATGGATGGTGTTTGGTCGGAGGCTTTAATGGTCCAGTGTGTTCGGCGACTCGCTTCAGTCATTGTAAAGGGCTTTGGGTGACCTTGGTCTGTGAAATGCGCTATATAGATAAACATTACTTACTTTACTGCACGTGAAAACCAGTGGAAGAACCAAACGTTAAATCCACTCACTTCAGAGCGAGGACTTTTGCATGGATCGCTTCCAAAACACAGGGCCCTTCTGCATGACCCCGACTGTAGATCTAAATGCTGTGAGCGTTGATTATTTTTGTCTTATTCGGCTCCAAATATCTAAATCATGAATATGGATTTCAAACGGGCAAATGAATGAGAATGCGCAGTGGACTTCTGACTCCTTTAAAATCCCTCTCTAAAAAAAAATGAAAGTGTGTGTGTGGTTTGGCTGGTGAGGCCCTCTGAGGACTGAGGCTTCATGTAGAGTTACCGGCTCAGTGGCTCCTCTGACCCGGCCGCTGCCCACCTCTCAGAGCAACTCAAGCCAAAAGTGAACATAAGAGCAGCTTTCTTCCGGCGCCGCATCCATAAAAAGCCCCCAAAGATGGCCGACTCTACTGTTTTTTAACACGGGGAGACGTCGGCAAACGAGGAAGCTGAATAGTTTATTAGATATGTAAACCGGTGTGCTTTGTAAGAAGGAGTGGATCACCTCCTACGGGCAGGACGCCGCCGGGGATGAAGACGGTCGTAGCTTAAATGGTCAAACTGCAGCAGGGAAAGTAGCCACGGAGGCCAAATTTGGTGAATCCGTGGTGGCTGTTTATGTACAGAGTCAAATCATCAAGAAGAAATGACCAGATGATAGTGAGACACGGTTGTGCAGCGGTTAGGGCTTGTATTTTACAGCAAGAAGGTCCTGGGTTTTGATTCCACCTCCAGACCTCTCTGTGTGGAGTTTTTGCATGTTATCCTCAATCTGCTTAAGTTTCCTCCAGGTGCTACGATTTTGCCTAGCAGTAAATGTGAAAAATGTGAAAAACTTTTGAGGAATGGTGTTGGTCGGGGGCTTTGATGCTTTGATGTCTGAACTCTTGGCATTGCAAAGCACTTTGGGTGATCTTGGTCTGTAAAATGCACTAAATACTGTAAAGAATCATTACTAACTTACTTACTTGAAGGTTTATACATTTTTGGATTTTAGGACTGATAATTTATTTTTTTTCTTTATCGTTAGTGGTTGTGTGAACGAGGGAGTGTCATGTTTATGTTGTCAATTAAATGTGTTTTCTATTTTTTATTATAACAAATTTTATAAGATTTTTTTTAAATTATTATTAATGCATGCCTTGTAACTTGTTCCTAGTTCGTGGCTTCCCGTTACTCACAATGGCAAAAAAAAAGAATAAAAAGATTGTGATTCTATCATAGCCGATTTCAAATGTGTTGTTCATGCAAGGCAGCCCAGGAATGTCCAGAAATGTGAGATTTTTTTTGTTGAGAAGAACGGGCAGCTTTACCATCAGAACCTGACCCACAACTGTCACAAAAACTGCAAGCTGTCATCGAAGTTAAAGGGGAAGTACACAGTGTTGAGAACTGGGGGGTGGAGACTTATGATCAGGGTCAGAAGAGGAGTTTCTGCTCTCATTATAATACGAAAATAAAAATATTTAACGATAAATTCCTTCACACAATATCTTTAGACTTCATTAAAGTGAATTGAGCCTCATTCAGATTCATAATCAATAAACACAAAAGAAGAAAATAGAGAAATTGTGAGCGACAGACTAAAGACAGACAAGTTAAAAACATTAAACAAAATTGGCCTTTTTTGTTAAAAGAAACAGACAGATTTGCCTTTTGGATTAAAAAAGCCATCACATCCATAACAGACGAGCTCGTTACTTAACAAAGACATTAGAAGGAGCAAACTTTGGACAAAATAAAAATTCCCGCACGTTCCGAAGGCGCCCTCTTTAGCCCGCCACGGCGCTGGAGGAAAACCCGTGTCAAAAAGTCTGTTTTCTCTGCAGGCCTTATCTGCATATTTGAATAAAACATGCTGCTTATGAGCATATTAAATGGTGTGTGGCCGTGCGTCAGTTTGGAGCCAGAGATTAGACCCCTCCGTTAATTATAGAGAAGTCAAGTGTCAGTGGGTACTCCTCTGGCCCCGGGGTCGGCCTCTCTGGTTTGGTGATTATCTGCACAAACTATAGATAAGGTGTCATCATACAGGAGATTACTGCTGAAACACAGGCCTCCACAGGGGGACTCGGGCGGACCCCTAATGGCTCCGTCCAACAGTTTGGCCCTTGGTACTTTTATCATGGCGCTGTTTGAAACGGAGATGAAGGTGACGGGGATGAAGAGTTGTCGCGTGTTTGAAACGATGGCTTGATTTCTGTGGGTCGTGTTCCTCGTGATCGTGGCGTGTGGTGGAAAAGAGGAAGGGCCCAAAACTTGCAGGAATGCCAAAAAAAAATAATGTTTTTAACGGTGATAAAATAAAAGTCCAGGTGAAAACAATTTTTAAAAATCTATAGAAAACAGGGAACAAGGAACAGGAGAGATGTTGACAATATAATGGACCAGCAACAAGAGGAGAGGAGCACAGGTACAGAGAGACACAGGTACATACAGAGACACAGGTACATACATACAGACACAGGTACATACAGAGACACAGGTACATACAGAGACACAGGTACATACAGAGACACAGGTACATACACAGACACAGGTACATACAGAGACACAGGTACATACAGAGACACAGGTACATACACAGAGAGACACAGGTACAGTACATGTAGACACAGAGACACAGGTACATATAGATACACAGGTACACACAGAGACACAGGTACACACAGAGACACAGGTACATACACACAGAGACACAGGTACACACAGAGACACAGGTACATACACACAGAGAGACACAGGTACATAGACACAGAGAGACACAGGTACATAGACACAGAGAGACACAGGTACATATAGACACAGGTACAGTACATATAGACATACAGAGACAAAGGTACATACAGAGACACAGGTACATATAGACACAGGTACAGTACATATAGACATACAGAGACAAAGGTACATACAGAGACACAGGTACATATAGACACAGAGAGACACAGGTACATATAGACAAACAGGACAGGAAGTAATTAAAACCAAACCACAGAGAACTAATTTCAAAATAAAACCAAAGTACAAAATAAAATCTCCACATTATGACAGATCAGTTCAGTTCAGTTCAGTTTATTTATTTGCCATTTACAGTAAAAACACCACATTGGAATACATTAGCAAAAAGTCTCCAGTGTGCAAAACAACATTAGAAGACAGAAATAAAACAAATAAAACAGTAAACAAATGTCACAGTGAAATCAATCGACTAAAACAGTTTCAAAACAAGTGCAAATCATTAAAGCGATAACAGCTTGTGGATAAAAACTGTTAGCGTCACAGCTGTGAGGTTAAGATTAAGACAGGCCAAATCCAATTTTATACATTCACTTGGAGCATTTGTTTGAAATGGGCTACTATGGCATGTTATACTTCATTAATAAGTGTAAGATCAGATAAACTACCATATAAAAATGCCTTCTAATATTTAAAAAAAACATAAAATAAGATACACTTTATTGATCTCACACTGGAGAAATGTACATGTCACATTTGGCACAGATAGAATCACTCAGACTGTGCAAAAAAAGTCAGAAGTGTGAAACATGTTAAGGTTAAAAATACAGTCTGTGCAGATATAATTATGTGCAATAAGGTCAAGTGACTAAAAAAGTAAGTTAGTTTGACCAAATACTTAATTTCAGTCTTCAAATACACATGATTTCTCACATCTCTATCACTGTTATATCGTTCTCAGGAAAGTACCATAAAGTATAAACTTATCAACATTTGCCAAACTGAGGAAATGTGAGCGAATAGATATAAATATATTCTTTGCAGGTCAAGGGAGCGTTCAAGCAAAAATCTTTCCTCCAACGAAAACAACAGTCTTACCTGTAGCACCTCACATTGGCCTATTAGAGCCGTGTGAGATGAGCCCTTTTTAAATCCTTTCTCATCAGCGCACAATAGAAGCGGATGTGTTTTGGTCATTACGGCGGCATTTAGACCCAGCGTAGTGGAAAGAGGCGCGGGCCAAGGGGAGCGCCTTGGGGTTCGCCTTGTCAGAAGGACCAGTCAGACGGGGCAGGGCTCTCTGTGTTCCTGTCAATCCGACGCGCCCCTCTGAAGTCCATTTAAAGAGAGGCGGAGCGGCTCACTAGTTCCTATAACAGGTGAGAAGGGCCGTATTATCAGCCCTGAGAGAGACGGGCAGACGTGATGTGTTCTTTCAACTGTACACACACACACACACACACACACACACACACACACACACACACACACACACACACACACACACACACACACACCCAAAAAACAAAGGCAGACAGGAGGAAGGAGAGAAGAGAAGAAGGACATACAGTAGCTACATATTTTCACTATAGATAATAACTCTACATTTACCCTTGAAGAAAGCAATGCCATTTTTTTATTTTATTTGGGATTTTCTTTCTTTCTTTGTTTTAACCCTAGTTCTTTTTTTACTTATAAGGTCTTTGCCAAATGTCTGAGATGCAGTTTGATGGTTTAAGTGCCAAAAAACAAGTGAGATGCCCCAAAGAGAAAGATCTCAAAAGGTGATCTACTAAATGAATGAAAAAATGGTTAAAAGCACCTCCTTATTTGCCGTCATATTACCAAACTCTTCTGTTTCATGAATAATGCATGTCCCAGCTGAAATATGCCTTTAAAAGTAAAATGTTGGCAGCAATTGAGTCTTCAATTCATGTCAGAAATTGTTTTAATTTTTTTTGGTAAGAAAGAGCCCCGTGAGGAACTAGTTAAACAGATTTGATTACATTTTTACTTGAACTTATGTTGACACTGCACTGAAATACTATAATGGATTAAACCAGGGGGTATCCTATCCAAAACTTTTAGTGAGAGGGCAAATTTAGTTCACCAGATTCTACCACTGTTTGATTTTCTTGCAGCACAGGTACAGGGCCTTGGACAAAGTTTAAAAAAATCATAATAATCAGAGAGTGGTTAGCACGCTTGCTTCTTAGCTTGAATCAGTCCATCAGTCACCTCTTTTAAATCACTTTCATCGAATGGCTTTCATATAATAACTGTAAGAAATTAATATTTATGTATAAACCGCCTTTCACAGACCAGAGTCACAAAGCGTTTTTTTTTGGGGGGCATTTGTCTCTCAGTCCACACAGATATGGGAGTGGGGCCAGTACAGGAGGCACATGCCAGACCTATTGTACATGTTTTTAGAGGTAGGGGAAACCGGAGCACCTGGAGGAAACCTACGCAGACACGGGGAGAACATGCAAACTCCACTCTTGCTGAGAGTCTGTTTTAAACTCTACATATATTTCACTTTTCCACATTGTTTTGTCTATCTGCTTTTATCTCCTATATTTCTTCTTGTAAATTGATATTATTATGACTTTTATGTTTTTATTGCCTCATGCTGACTTGTGCAGGGCTTTGTGAACACTTTGAACCGTGCAAAAAAACCCCCAAAAGATTCATTATTATTATCATTTATGAGTCTAGTTTGCATGTTCTGCCCGTGTCTGCGTGGGTTTCCTCCGGGTGCTCCAGTTCCTCCTACCAGTAAAAACACGCACAATAGCTCCCTTCTCCCTGGGGCCCCCACTCCCCGGAAAAAGCGATTCTGAAATCCCTGTTGGACTCTCCTGGTTAAATAAAAATAAATATCAAATTCTAAAAGGACATATTTGGATACTATTATGAAAAATTGGGCAAACATGGGTCATTTCCAGCAGTAATGCTTGGCCCTTCAGCCCTGCTTTAGATACTGGCACAATACCCAGGTCGTTTTTTTCATGGTAAATCAATCAATGAATCAATCAATACCAATAATGGCGTTAACCTGCGTTGAGGAAACACCGACGTTAAAGGAGATGAGACCGATGCGTATGAAAACTACAAGACTTTTGTTTGTGTGAGAATAAAGCAGTCTGCGCAGAGGGAGGGGCTGAAGCCGCAGACAGAGAATACTTTTTCCATTGACCATATATTGCAATCTGCTTTTTAGGATTTTAGGAGTGCGCTAGGGGGCTGAGGAGTTTGTTTTGGTTTCGGGTTTGGAGGAGGTTTGTGGGGGTGGGGGGGTGGGGGGCTGGAGCTGACACAACATCCACGGCGCTCTCCATCAGGCAATCCCCTCTCTGCCCCATCCCCTCCTTCTCCTTCCACTCACAGCCAATACAGTTCCGCCCTATACCCTTCCAGCCTCCTCAATATTTCATGGGACGGGCCCGCGCTGGCTAACTCAAGGCCATGCAAGCCGGGCTCCCTCACCGAGCAAAGCGCTGGAGAGTCTGCCGGGGTTCGCTGCTGCCGATATTGTCGATCGCAGAGACAATAACATTTAAGCCACATTTCCCCGCAATGGCATAAATGAGACAACGATGGAGAAAGCAAAGTAGCTGTGATCTTACAATATGGAGAAATGGCAAATGTGTGTTTTCTTTTACATGCTGCAATAAATACACCAACTTTGTAAAGTTTTTGAGGGTGCAACACTGACTATAGGCCCTTCCTGTGGGTCTGAGGAGTTGCAGGTTCTTCATCTCGAAGTTCTTAGATGATTGCGAAATGTTGCCTCATTCAACGCTGTCCAACTTCTTTACAATGGTTTGATATTTGTTGTTTTGGAGAAGTGTTTTGTCTATCCATGTTGGTCCCATTGAGGAGAATAGAAACACATCTAACCTTGACCAATGCTTTATATTATTCATGTATTTCCCAGTTCATCGTACTACAGCCGACTCACACCTGGGCGGTATCAGCGTAGATCACTAATGTGCAAGAATGGTGCAAGTCACTAAAGGATACGTATGTTTATCGCGGCTTAGCACACGCAGTTTTGCACCTGGATGGATAGAAATACCTCTGCATGCATTCAAAAGTTATGAAAAAGTAAGGTTCATTATGGGACAGCTGTGGGCTGTCTTTTTAGTGGCATTTTTTATCATTCCATTCAATTACATTTATCTTTGTATAGCTCTAAATCACAAAAGTAGTCATCTCGGAGGGTGATACAAAGTTGAGTGCTGCACTGGATCAAACAATAGTAAAAATACTTACAGGTGCTCATCCGACTCATGGGGTTGAGCCATTGACCGACGTGTTTCGACAAAAGTCTTCGTCAGGGCAGTGAGTGGATCCCTGACGAAGACTTTTGTCGAAATGCGTCGGTC